GCGAATGCGGGGCCAAATTTCCTATCAACATGAACAAGTATTGATGCATTTTGGGGCACGTGGGAAGTCCAGGCTGATCAAGGGAGCGAGTTCATGGGGGGTTTTGACAGGTTACTGAGAAACATCTGGATCACGCACCATATGACGTTCAAGTGTCACCCTAAGGTGATGGACTAACATAGAGAGATTTGTGCGAACAATAAAGACAGAGCTGAGAGCATATAGGGATAGCTGCAAGAGAGACTGGGATGTGAGGCTTCCATGGGTGGTAGCAAGATATAGGTTTAATAAACAGGCATCACTGAAGGATTGTCTCCCTGTTTCCTGCTGCTATGAAGCAAACCCATATTTGCCCATGGATGTGCACAAGATACTGACGGAGGTTGTCACAGCAGGGTTCTAGGATAATGGGTGGGGCTAGCCAAGGCCAGAGATAGATGCCTAGAGGAGCTCTTACTACCAGCACTCGAGAACCTTTATGTAGCGCAGCTTAGGGATGCATAGGGATATTAGAAAAGGAAGGAAACAAAGGAGGGAGGAAAAGGAAACGAATTGGGAGTTTGAAAGGAAGTTTACCTGGTGCAAGGAAGCAAGATATGATGGATATCGGGCTTAGCACAGAAGGGCGAAAAGTAAAAGAGATCAAGAGTTGCAAGTGATAGTATTGGTGAATGATCAGGGAGAGCAAAAGAGGGACCACAAGACAAATGTGGCGAAGGCAAGGCGCAAGGCAGAGCCAAGGGTGGAAACGCGGATAAGGTAGGAGAAGCAGCCATGTAGCTTACTGGTAAGGAGGTCCATTGCTCCTTGAAAGGAGTGCAAAGGTTGAGGAGGGGGCATAAAAAAGAGGCTGATGTGAAGGGGTCCAGGGAGTTAACTGCACTAATGAACAAGGGATAGAGGCTAGCCAGGAAGGAGAACGAGCAAGAGGAACGACAAGGTAAGTGTGATGGTGCAAGCCATAGTAGTGGCACAGCTCGCCAAGTTCTGTACATGTGTGTCTCTTCTGCAGTTTGGTTCTCACCTCATCTAGAGCAGCCCTGTGTGCTGTAGCGAAGACGAAGTCATGAACTTAGACAAAGACGAAGAAATATATGGGTCCAGAATGAACGAACGGAGATAGGTCGACAGATGAAGGATGGAACTTGAGGTCAGGAAGTGTGGTGCGTAACTTGTCGTACCATTCATAAGACACTCTTTAGAGACCGTTGACTAGTTGTCTCAGGCTCCACTAGGTCCCATGTAGGAAAGTGCCAATGAAGCTAGCCAGACGGTGCAGCCAGATGTCCTCGTACAAGCGGTCCTAGAGAAAGGCAGTGGAGAAGTCGAGGGAGAACAACTCGTCTCGCTGTGCTGCGACGTGAAGACTAGTCATCTTCGGGAACGAGGCGAAGATATGCAGAAGTCAACTCTCTCACACTGTTTAAAACCTCTAGCCACGTAGCATGCCTTGAAGACAGGTGGCGCTAGTCGGCCGCTTCACCTTGAAAATCAACATATCATCGACTACGTTCTTCCCGAGAGGGGGAACTGCGTCGACGTAAGTGCCTGTGGATCCAAGATGCCATATCTGCATCCATGTCCGCTATCCACTGAGAGCTCACAACCCTAACACTGCCTTACGGTATATGCGAGTAATTGGTATGTCAAGTGCATTGGGATCTCTCTCAGGGGCTAGCAGCATGGCACAGAGATGGGAAGAAACGGCTGCCAAGAACTCAAACTCAAATTGCCTGTCTTCTTGTACATTAAAACCAAGACTCATCCCCAATGGATAGAGGATGGACAGTCACCACTCGGGTGGCATAATCAAGGCTGTAGGAGACGTCAAAGTCAGCGAAAGCGGCAGTAAGGGCCGAGGCTTGAGTGTTCGTAACAAGAGACGCGAGAATGCGTGAAACAACAGAGCGAGCTGTATGGTAGTAGTCAATGATAGGATGAAAAGAGACCCTAAGGGATGACTCATGAGGTGACAGGGAGAACATACTTAGGTGGGGAACGATAAGTATTTGGACAAAGTAAGACAGTGCGGAGGTCATCAAAAGGAGGCGAGGGACGTGCTCGAGCAAGACAGCAAACTGTCCAGTCATGCGGGATAACAGGAAGAGACGAGTGTGACCAAAGAGGAGAGAAGATAGCCTGAAGAGGGAGACAATGTGCAATAGCAGGCGGTGAGTGGTCCAGGGAGGAGGAAGGGAGATCAAGGGTCCGGAGGTAACTCACAGGCGAAAACAGTTGTTTCAAAACTTACGTCTACGGCGTCTGCTTTTGCTGCTGCTGCTGCTGCTGCTGCTGCTGCCACTGCTCCTACTGCTGCCGCTCGGCTCCAGCCCCTCCTACTCTGACCTCTCTTGCTCCTCATTCTTCAGTTGACGACGCTTCTGGAAACGCGTCGGGTAGTAGTGGGGTGGCAGGGTAGGCAATATAGTAATAGTTCCTCCAGCTACAGTCTTCTTAGAATTAGCACCTCTAGTGAGCACCCACGGGATCAGCACCCCTAGATTTAGCATATCCATTGCCAGCTCCCCCAGCTCTAGCACCCCTAAAACCAACACATCCAATGCCAGTACCCTCAGCTCTAGCACCCTATGAACTAACACCTCTAACACCACTACTTTAAGCTTCGGCACCCTCAGAACTAGAACCTCCACCGCCTCTACCCTCAACTCCAACACCCTTAGAACCAACACCTCCAGCGCCAACATCAACACCTTAAGAGTCCACCGCAACCCGTCGTAGTAGAGCCAAAGGATCTTGCGATAGTTGTGTGGATAAGTGTGGAAAAGGAGACGGTACCTGACGTGCTGCCGAGAAGCGAGGGGTAGCGTGGGACATGCCAGATGGGGCAGGATCAAGGGGGGACGGGTGAAATAGAGGAGTGAGAGCAGGAAGGGGGGGTAGGGGCAAGGAAAAGGGGAGGGAATGGAAAAACATGAGACCTCGATAACGGTAGAGGGAGTTCAGGGAGCTAGATTTGTCAAATTGGATATCACGGGAGTTGAGGAACCGGTGGAAGGTTGGGTGGTAAAAGGTGAAGTCAGAGGAGTCCTCTGGAAAACCAAGGAAGACATAGGGAAGGGCATGAGGTGAGAGCTTGTCCTCAAAGGTGTCACGGACAAACGCAAGGTTGCCCCAATCTCGAAACTCAGACGCAACGCCAAAGGTCCCGGGTGGCGACACAACATGTTAACGAAGGTGTCACCGTCCACGCAGGTGTCGACACGCTCAGACAGAGGAAACCAGGTGCCGACGTGGAGGTCCTGAAGGTGCCCAACATCCACCAAGTTCCTGGAGAACGAAGGGATGTGGAGACTAATGGGGACACTCGAGGGGGCAGCCGGGCACGGGAGGGTGGTAGAGCTCTGGGCAACTTCTGGTCCTCAAGTAAGATCAGCTAGTGCAATCGGAACTGGAGTAAGAGGTATGTGGTCACGGAAGAAGCATTGCGACGCGCCAAAGTCCAACGTGAAACGGTGGGGGGGGGGGGGGGGCTTAGAAACGGGGGCCGCAGGGCCTTGGATGCGGGGCTGCGGGGCCTTGGAAACGGGGGTGCATGGCCTTATAAAACGGGGAGGATGCTGCAGTGATGCGCGCTGCTGCAAGTGTGCGTGCAGTTGCGCGTGCGGTCGCAACTGCTGCTGCGCGTGCGGCTGTGTGTGCACAATTGCTGCTGCGCTAGCAGCTATGCACGAGTAAGTGCACGCGCGTCTGCGGGTAAGCGCGTAGCCGCGGGTAAGCATGTGGCTGCGGGTGCGCGCACGGCTGCGGGTGTGCCTAGAGGTGCGCACGCGGCTGCGGGCTAGCGTTTGCGTGTGGAGCGCGGGGTGATGTTACGGGGCAGCGTGTACGGGGTGACACAAAGCAACATGGGGTGATACAGGGTGTCACGGGGTGATAGCATCTTAAAGTAACTAGTAGCTAGAAACTAGAGTAGAAAGTAGGATGGTTTTACTAGGGATAGAGAAATACAAGTATGAGTGCTGTACCCTATACAAGCCTCCTCACTGTAGCTATATCAAACGAAGTCAGTCATATGATTTGATAGTATATTGTACAAACAGCAAGAGTGATATTTAAAATTGTGTAGAAGCATAAAATAAGTAGTTATATTGAAATACTCAGATAAGTAAAAAATATATTTCAACAACAAATCCATTCAAATATGTACGTAGTGGATTCCAACCTGCCCCAAATACTTTTGGAGCGAACTGCACGCCAACTTGTAGACGAAACTTGTGATTCTAAGATTATATGAAACGCATTTCCTCAAATTTTGCGTGGCGATGATATTGGTAAACGCTCTCTTTTGGGACCAGTTAGGTTTATGCCACCTACAGTATCAAACCAAATCTATCTAAAGCAGAATGAGGGCGCTTTCCTTACACCTAAAGGTGTCTAGACAACTGCTGCGGGATTTAGGATAAGGCGGACTAGGGGTACTGGCGTGGCCGTACCCGACGCGATCATGACTGCTTCTGCGATAAGGGATCTGCTCGTCTCCTCTCGCCATTACCTGGTAACCCGGCTATTTCTTACAAGCCGATTTTGGCGCGGGGGGGCGCTCCACCGACGAGCATCGTGTGCGCACAGCTCAAATGCGATTCCAGATATGCCGGCTCTTCAAGTTGCCCGAGTGTTTTTTCCGGAGTACCATACCCAACCTTTCTAAATCATAGAATACCAGCCTATCTCGTACTAAGCCTCATTGAACCGTATTAAGACGACCTTTAGACACCCTAACCTTATCTGAAGGCAACCCATGTTGGCGCGGCGCTAGTGGTCACACTCCCTCTCCTCCCCCTTCCCCTCCTCTCTCCCCCTCCCCGTCCCCTCTCCCGCCAACCCCTTTTCACGCCACACCACTGTACTGAGGGGGGACCGTTTCTCGCCTTCACTTGTGCCTCTATGGTAGTAGTAGCTCTGCTTGCGTCGATCTTTTTAAGCGCTGGCTTGGCAGACCCCTGTTTCTCCTCTCACACACACTAGCGGCGAGTGGAATCATGCGGAGTACCACAAGTGCTAGTAAAGCTAATTTCCCCGCCGCTGGGTCTGTCGCGTGGCCGCGCTTCGCGAATGTCGCAGCTCTTCTCTTTCTTCTCGCAGCCTTCGCACTCACTGCCAGCGCCTCGACTACTTCTTGCTCCCTTTCCAGCGCCGCCGCGGCGCGGCCCAATCGCCCACTGCTCCGCCGCCGCCGAGATGCCGCCGTGGACCCGCGCCTGCCGCCGCGGCCCGACTCACAGCAGCGCCTGCTCTCTCGCGCCGCTCGACCCAGCCGCGCCCGACGCTCGCTCTTTAAGGTCGCCGCTACTGCCGCCGGCGCGACCGGCGGCGGCGCTGCAAGGCCCGTCGCTGTGAACGAGTCGCAATGTGAGTCCGTTGTCGACCACTCTAGAAAACTCAGTAAAATTCAGTAAACGCTTGCAGCGAGCTTCCTCGCGAGCTATCCTCTCCCATTCCGCACCGCTCCGGGGGGGTGCTCTAGCTCACACGCGCACCAGAGACAATTCAGCGAGACAGAGACTTGCACTCGCGGCTCGGGCAAGGCCATTTGGGGAATTCGCAGAAGCCTTACAGTCCAGCGGCTTTTCTATTTGCGACGTCACCCCGCGCCAGACGCATTGGTGCTGGCAGTGAGCGGCCGCGCCGCCTTTCGCATAAATATGCATTTTTCCCGCCGGCATGAGAAAATTTCATCGGAATCTGCTCCTTTTTTCTCCGCTAACACTGGCAGTGAAGGCGCTGGTTTTCCGCGAGTCATCTCTTTTCTCTTCCCCCCCCTTCCCCCTGCTCTGGCAGTGAAGGCGCTGGTGCAGCTGCAGGAGGCGTGGGGCATGTGGGCGGGCAACAGCAACGCCACCACTGCGTGCTCTGCATGGACTGGCGTCACCTGCAGCCCCAACGGACTCGTCACCGCCCTGTGCGTCCCATTGCCGCCCCCCACTGCCCTCACATCCCTCACTGCCCTCATTGCCCTAATTGCTCTGGGCTCTGTTTGGCCTTTCCTGCCCTCGTTGCCGCCGCCCTAATTGCCGCTTGATGCTCTCTGATCGCTCGTAACGTAAACGAAGCTCAACGAAAACGGAATCTCGAATGCGGTAACCCGGTGCCGAACCCTGTAGACGCTCTGCCACTGCTGGTAGCTGCGTCCTCCTCGATTTAGGATTGCAAACTTCAAAGTCCATGCGAAGTCCATGCGAAGTCCATGCAAAGTCCATGCGGCGTGGCGCCAGGAGGAGTCCATTGAAAACCTAATTCAAGGAGGACATCGGCACCAGGGGAGGAACAACGGGTGCAACGCCAGCGCTGGCGAAGGGGAGTTGCACGAAGGGTTAAGCGGCAAGGCAACCGCTGCACCAATGAATAACCCCCAGAGTGGCTCCTTACCTGCCCAGTGGTCTAGTAGGTCTAGAGCACGGGGCGTTATATCGTCCCCCGTTGCCTTTGTTCCCCCCACGTACGTTGCCCCGCATCGCTCGTCTGTACTCTCGTCGCCTCGCCCTCACAGTTCATCACTGTTTCACCTTTTCATTGGCTGCTCCGCTTGCAACAACTGTGTGTTTCCACTGGCTGCACGGGATGGCGTGAGAGTGGGAACGTGGGGTGGTGGGAGTGGGATGGGGGAGGACTTGATACCGGGGAGGGAACTGGGGTGGGAAGTGTAGTGGGAGGTGGGGTGGGAAGTGGGGGAGGGACGGGGATGGACGGGAGAGCTGGTATTGCGTGTGTGCATGTGTGTGTTGGCTTGGCTGGCAGGGATGCAAAGCTATTCTCAGACGTGGATCCTCCCCCCAGTGGCTCCATACCTGCCTCCATCACTAGTCTCGCCACTCTGCAGTACCTGTGCGTCACTGCCCACCCACCCACCCACCCATCTACCCAACCCACACAACCCACCCGCTCTCTCCTCTACATCCATCTTGCATGCACCACGCTCCGTGCCTTTCCTTCGCTTGACATGGCAACATGTGCTTTCTCTTGTGATTTCACCCTCCCCCATGCCGCACGCACTCGTGTGCCCCCTCCATCTCATCCCTCTCATTTCACACGCCTCTACTGACATTTTTCACCCCTCACATCACATGCCCCTCTAGTATACTAGGCAGAGCACAAATTGTAAACCTTTGTCATGTCATAGGCCTTTAGGCTGGACTGGAATGGTTGCATTCGTCATCATGCCATTCGTCATCATGCCACTCGTTATCATGCCATTCGTCATCATGCCATTCGTCATCATGCCATTCGTCATCATGCCATTCGTCATGATGCCATTCTATATGGTCTCAAGCCTCAACCCTCCACCCTATCTTTCTCTTGCCTTCTCCGCTCCTGTTTCCTGACCCCCCACAGCGATCTAACCTCCATCGATCTGGTGGGGCCCATCCCATCCCTCGCCCCACTCACCGGCCTCACCCACCTGTACGTCTCGAGTTCATTTGCGACTGGTCTCTCAAGGCTGGAGTCATTCCGAGCTTCCCTTCCACGAATTCACCTCGCCTCGCCTCTCGTCATTTTCTGTCCCTTTCCTCACGCTGTTCTTTTCCAACCTTCCCTACGTGTACTCCTCTCGCCGCTTATCCCAAACTGATGATTTCCGTTTCCTCCTGTGGCATGTGTCCCCAATGCCCACTTATATGCCACGTGTGTTCTACTGCTGCTTGCGTGCCACATGTGCACTCAGAGCGATTGGAGTGGAGGAGAGCAGGCTAACTGGCACGATCGAAGGACTGGCGTGGCTCTCCTCCCTCACCAACCTGCAATATCTGTACGCCCTGCAAGCACTGTACGCCCTGCAAGCACTGAACGCCCTGCAAGCACTGAGCTCCCTGCAAGCACTGAACGCCCTGCAAGCACTGAGCTCCCTGCAAGCACTGAGCTCCCTGCAAGCACTGAGCTCCCTGCGCTGCAAACAGCATCGTTGCCTGTGCAAGCCCCATGTTCGCCCTGCAAACTTGGCCACCCTACGTGCGCTTGGCATGCCACAGCACAGTGTCTTTCACCCATGCATCACACATATCATGAAACACCCCATGCAAATGTGAAAGCAGTGTTTTACGTTCTCCCATCCATCCTATCCGTCTCGCATGCCTCACTGTCCTCCCTCCCTCCACCAGGAGTCTTGAGTACTTGTATCAGTTCACAGGGGACTTGACCTCCCTGTACATTCTGTCTCACCTGAAAAGCCTTCAAGACCTGTAAGCATCACCACAGCGCACAAACATGTTGTGATCGCAGCATCATGTATATACCATCTCGCAACTGACACTGGTGGTAGTGCGTTCACTTTTGAGTCGGCTGGTGGCAGTGCGTGTATTCACTCTACGCCTCATTGCTGGTGTGCATGAACGCAGGAAACTCTATGCGCTCACCAACGCCACAGGGGAGATACCCAGGGAGATCCGATACATGACTGCCCTCACTTCATTGTAAGCTGCACACAAAGCCCTATCCGGGGCTTGAAGCGAAACCTCTCCATCCCCTCGCTCGCCTCGCCTGACATGCCATTACATAACTGACTGCAGCTGTCTGCACCTGCCCGAGATTCGTTTCTCTGCACCTGACACAACATGCAAGCTCGTGCCTTCCTCTCTGCAGGGACCTATCCTACCTTCGTGCTGTGGAGTTCCCTGATTGGGTCACTCACCTCTCCAACCTTCAGCATTTGTGAGCTGCTCCTGCCTTTCTCTCCTTCTCCACCTTTTCCACAAGCCACATCCCCTTGTGATGGAGACGCCACCTTTGCGGCTTTGCCACACGCCACATCCCCCATGAGGCACGAGGAGAACCAACTACACTTGCCATCGCCGTAACTGGGCTTGACTCAGTGCGTGGAGTCCCGTGTGTGCCGGCCTTCCCATGTGTTCCCTTGCGTGCCTTCAGGAACTTGCAGACGGACGATCCAGCTCGGCAGGGGCTGTTGAAGGAAGACTTATCTGAGCTCACAGCACTCACCAGCATGTGAGTTTAGCCGCGCACGCACGTGAGAGTGCTACGAGGATGCTTACTTTGCGTTGGCCTTTTACTAGGGGAGTATACTATTTTCTGCCTCTTTATGTTTCGATGTTATCTGATTCGAAGAGTTTGGGTAGGGTGTTGGCAAAGCGGATTGTGTGTACTGGTGTGTGTGTCCTTAGAAATGATGCTCTGGCGAATGAATCTTTACTATGCATGGTGCGGTTCAGCATACCCTGCCCCCCGCACCATCTCAATTGCATGCATCCATCCCTGCTGCATCTCCGTTTCCAGAAGGGCAGGAAAGACACCCACTCACGGGACTCTCTCTGCCCAAGTCTCTCATGATCCTCACCCCACTCCACCAGTTAACAACCATACGACCATCCGCTGTCTGTCCTGCCCGCTGTCTGTCCTGCCCGCTGTCTGTCCTGCCTGCTCCCATGCGCTGCTGCAGGTCCCTCCAAGGGAACAACCTGGAGGGCTACCTACCCAGGAGCTGGTCCAGGCTGGTCAACCTGCAGGAGCTGTGAGTCACTGCTTGATCGGCGCTCTGCCCCATGCCATACCATGCAATCCTGCCGCGTTGCTGCCATGCCATGCAGCGTTTCTCCATGATGCAATGGTGGTGGCTCGCTGTTATGGAGCTCGCAGAAACGTTGTTAAGAAACCTTTTCGGTTAACCAAGTGGGTCAAGAGAGCAGCACAATGAAAGGGGTATGTCCACACAGCAGCCATACCGTCGCAAGCGATAACCTGTACTGCGCTGCAGCCCTCTTAAATTTCTGGGTCATCCCAGGGGCCCTATGAGCAACACTCTCGTTCTTCTCCCTTGTTCTTCCAGTTGTCTGAGCTCCAACCGAGTTGACTTTTGAGTCGACTCAAAAGCACGACACTCGTTCTTCTCCCTTGTTCTTCCAGTTATCTGAGCTCCAACCGCCTCCAGGGAACCATTCCAGCAACATTCTCGGCCCTAACAGCCCTGAGTATATTGTAAGTCTCCTGCATCTTTCCCGAGTCCCCTCTTCCCATTGCATGGCCTCCACTCTGTCGTTCCCTGTCTACTTCGCTCGTCCCTTCCTCACTCAGTACGTACTCTTCTTTGCGCTCTGTTCTCCCCTCCTCCTCCCTTCCCCCTCCTCTTCCAACCCCCGACCTGCAGGGACCTTTCATGGAATTCTCTTATTGCTCCGATACCCCCTGCATTCTCCAGCAACATCGACACATTGTGTGTAACTCTTTCCTCCGCCCGACCCACCTTCCCAAGCCTAACCTAACCCAGCACGTCTTCTTCCTGTACCTTTATGAATCACTGGATTTTCATCATTCAGCTCTGTCTCTCACCTCGTGTCTCTCACCTCGTGTACCGATCTCAACAACTCTTCTTGCCTTGTCTCTTTCATCCCCTATTCTCCATGGCCTGGCCTGGCATCCTGTGCTTCAATGTGCTTCACTCTCCCCCCTTTCACAAACATCACACCTCCCTCCCTTTGCGAGCGACCTTCGGGTGCAGGGAATGTTGAAACAAGCCGCTGCCTGCCTCTCCTGCTCCACGTGCCTGTCCAGATACCTTGACCACAATGCCTTCGACCCATCCCACCACACCTCGCAATGCCCAGCCTTGTAGATCTGTAAGGCCCACCACTTGGCCCACCACTTGGCCCACCACTTGGCCCACCAAGCACCACTTGGCCCACCAAGCACCACTTGGCCCACCACTTGACCCACCAATTGAACTGGCCCGCTTGGCCTGCCCGTGCCACACACACTCGTTCTTGAACCTCCACTCGGATTGGCCCCTTGAGCCTGCCCTCCGACCTGCACTCTCTGCGTAGCTCCTTCTGTCACTTCCTGTTCCAATCCAACCCTTTCCATGTCTCCCCCATTCTGTGCACTGGTTCCCGCTGGGCTGCTTTGGCTGCAGTAAATTATCCAACAATTTCTTCTCAGGAGGCATCCCCAACACCTTCACCCGTCTCACTGGCATGGATATGCTGTATGTCTCACTGGCATGGATATGCTGTATGTCTCACTGGCATGGATATGCTGTATGTCTCACTGGCATGGATATGCTGTATGTCTCACTGGCATGGATATGCTGTATGTCTCACTGGCATGGATATGCTGTATGTCTCACTGGCATGGATATGCTGTATGTCTCACTGGCATGGATATGCTGTATGTCTCACTGGCATGGATATGCTGTATGTCTCACTGGCATGGATATGCTGTATGTCTCACTGGCATGGATATGCTGTATGTCTCACTGGCATGGATATGCTGTATGTCTCACTGGCATGGATATGCTGTATGTCTCACTGGCATGGATATGCTGTATGTCTCACTGGCATGGATATGCTGTATGTCTCACTGGCATGGATATGCTGTATGTCTCACTGGCATGGATATGCTGTATGTCTCACTGGCATGGATATGCTGTATGTCTCACTGGCATGGATATGCTGTATGTCTCACTGGCATGGATATGCTGAATGCCTCACTGGCATGGATATGCTGTATGTCTCACTGGCATGGATATGCTGTATGTCTCACTGGCATGGATATGCTGTATGTCTCACTGGCATGGATATGCTGTATGTCTCACTGGCATGGATATGCTGTATGTCTCACTGGCATGGATATGCTGTATGTCTCACTGGCATGGATATGCTGTATGTCTCACTGGCATGGATATGCTGTATGTCTCACTGGCATGGATATGCTGTATGTCTCACTGGCATGGATATGCTGTATGTCTCACTGGCATGGATATGCTGTATGTCTCACTGGCATGGATATGCTGTATGTCTCACTGGCATGGATATGCTGTATGTCTCACTGGCATGGATATGCTGTATGTCTCACTGGCATGGATATGCTGTATGTCTCACTGGCATGGATATGCTGTATGTCTCACTGGCATGGATATGCTGTATGTCTCACTGGCATGGATATGCTGTATGTCTCACTGGCATGGATATGCTGTATGTCTCACTGGCATGGATATGCTGTATGTCTCACTGGCATGGATATGCTGTATGTCTCACTGGCATGGATATGCTGTATGTCTCACTGGCATGGATATGCTGTATGTCTCACTGGCATGGATATGCTGTATGTCTCACTGGCATGGATATGCTGTATGTCTCACAACTTCGCATGCTGCATACCACCAGCCTTCTGATCTGACTCACCCTGTCCCCACTGCGCTACAGCGCCCTTCAGAACGAGAGCCACCTGTCCAAGGAAATGCCCGTCAGCTAGAGCACAGAGTTGACTGCAGGGCATGTGTCCTTGTGTCTTTGTGTCTGTGTGTCTGAGTGTGTATGTGTGTCCCTACTGCACTTGACAGAAACATTGCTGTCAACAATCTCACCTCAGGCCTTAACGTGGTGGCTCAGATGACGTGGCTCGCAAACATGTGAGTCTCTCTGCTCTTTGCCACCTCAGCAGCCTCCTATTGGCAACCTCAACCCTGCTTTTTCTTCCCTTTGTCCACTCCACTATTCTTGCCTGCAACATCAATTTATTGTCGATTCAAATTTTGAGGTCCTTTTTCTGAATCCTCTGGAATCCTGGCCGTGCAGACTCCTCTACACGAACGACTTCACCGGTGCTCTTCCAGCATCCTTCTCAGCTTTTGAGAGTCTCTCATCTCTGTGAGTGTGCACTGCCTGTCACCACATCTGCAAGAAAGCGACCCTTTCCGTTGCACCTACTTGGGTGAAATGCAGCGGCAGATATTTTTGTGACTTCCCCTATAGTAAGGGCACTTGAATGATCGTAAGACCCTTAATAATGACTCAATGTTCCAATAATCCAACCCTTGGTGCATAATCGCTTCTGTGCGTATATTATTGGAATATTTGCCTACACTTATATGCACGTGCAGTGCCTGTGTGGACCTGAGCGACTCAATGCATGCTTTCCAACACGCAATTCTGCATGAGAATGTTTCATCGTCACATCACCACCCCACCACACGCGTGTATCTTGGCCTGATTCAGGCTTATTCAGAACAACCGATTCACAGGAACCTTCCCCAGTTTTATCCTGCAGCACACGGGCCTAATGTTCCTGTAAGCCATCCACTTGTGGGCTCAAACAATGGCGGGCTGCACTTGTCAAAATAATGCTTCCAGTTGCATGAGAGTATGTGCATCGGGTTTTTTTTTTTTTTTTTAATAAATAATATAATTTCGGGTACTGTTCTAATCTAGTCCATTATCTGAGCAACTCATGTGGCAATCCTGACCTGATCCGAATGGCTATGGCAGGAGCTTGGCCAACAACAGTTTCACGGGGCCTATCCCCAGTGACTTGACCAAGCTTCTCAACCTGATGGACATGTGAGTGGTCGTGCTGCTGCTTGATCCATCACATGTGAGTGGTCGTGCAGCTGCTTGATCCATCACATGTGAGTGGTCGTGCAGCTGCTTGATCCATCACATGTGAGTGGTCGTGCTGCTGCTTGATCCATCACATGTGAGTGGTCGTGCTGCTGCTTGATCCATCACATGTGAGTGGTCGTGCTGCTGCTTGATCCATCACATGTGAGTGGTCGTGCTGCTGCTTGATCCATCACATGTGAGTGGTCGTGCTGCTGCTTGATCCATCACATGTGAGTGGTCGTGCTGCTGCTTGATCCATCACATGTGAGTGGTCGTGCTGCTGCTTGATCCATCACATGTGAGTGGTCGTGCTGCTGCTTGATCCATCACATGTGAGTGGTCGTGCTGCTGCTTGATCCATCACATGTGAGTGGTCGTGCTGCTGCTTGATCCATCACATGTGAGTGTTCGTGCTGCCGCTTGATCCATCACATGTGAGTGGTCGTGCTGCTGCTTGATCCATCACATGTGAGTGGTCGTGCTGCTGCTTGATCCATCACATGTGAGTGTTCGTGCTGCCGCTTGATCCATCACATGTGAGTGGTCGTGCTGCTGCTTGATCCATCACATGTGAGTGGTCGTGCTGCTGCTTGATCCATCACATGTGAGTGGTCTTGCTGCTGCTTGATCCATCACATGTGAGTGGTCGTGCTGCTGCTTGATCCATCACATGTGAGTGGTCGTGCTGCTGCTTGATCCATCACATGTGAGTGGTCGTGCTGCTGCTTGATCCATCACATGTGAGTGGTCGTGCTGCTGCTTGATCCATCACATGTGAGTGGTCGTGCTGCTGCTTGATCCATCACATGTGAGTGGTCGTGCAGCTGCTTGATCCATCACATGTGAGTGGTCGTGCTGCTGCTTGATCCATCACATGTGAGTGGTCGTGCTGCTGCTTGATCCATCACATGTGAGTGGTCGTGCAGCTGCTTGATCCATCACATGTGAGTGGTCGTGCTGCTGCTTGATCCATCACATGTGAGTGGTCGTGCTGCTGCTTGATCCATCACATGTGAGTGGTCGTGCAGCTGCTTGATCCATCACATGTGAGTGGTCGTGCTGCTGCTTGATCCATCACATGTGAGTGGTCGTGCTGCTGCTTGATCCATCACATGTGAGTGGTCGTGCTGCTGCTTGATCCATCACATGTGAGTGGTCGTGCTGCTGCTTGATCCATCACATGTGAGTGGTCGTGCTGCTGCTTGATCCATCACAGGTGAGTGGTCGTGCTGCTGCTTGATCCATTATGCATCACAGCTACACAAGTGCCGTTGATTTCAGCAAACAAGGTGACTTGTGTGGGCTCACTGAGATTTCGTCACCGGGAATGCAGCATGTGATGTAAGCGGTTACCGGTGCACTAGCCTGCAAGAGTTAGTTGCTGTCCGCTCAAGTGTAATGGGACTTGAGCAAGAGAAGCAGTAATGCCAAGTAGGGCAGTGATTTGGGTTAAAGGATCCTTCCAGTCTGCCCGCTTTGGGGCTCCCTGCAGCCTTCTGCACGGAAAAAAATGAGTTCTCTCTTTGTCATAATCTAACAGCTGCTAGAACACTCGTGGCATCATTGGCACAGTTCTCTCAATGACAACAATTTCCATGGAACAATCCCATCTGGCCTGCTTCAGATATCCACGCTAACCTCGCTGTAAGCATCTCCGTACCTCCATCCATCCATTTCACCTGTTTCAGGAAATTTATTTCTTTCTTCTTCCACCTTGCTGCCCCTTCATCCTCATTCTTTCAATTAATTCCTGAAATGATAATGTTAAACAAAACCTTGTGAGTGCTCTCTGAAAAGAACCTTGAGTGATCTCCATAGCTGTCCGCCAGGCAATTGCTTTCAAAGTTTATATCCCTTTTCCAGCTCCTCTTTATCAGAGGCCCATGATGCATGCATGTGCTTTGGCACTTTCCTTGCATTTGTAACAGCTGCAATCAACCAATCCTTTCCCCTATTTCCCCTCCTTTCCAACACAGGCAAGTAGCTAACAACTTCCTTTCTGGGGGCCTCCCAGGGACTCTCAGGGCCTCCTCATCTCTTTACACGCTGTAGGTAGTGCAACCACTGTGTGTGCTGCCGCCAGTTTGCGTGTCTGCTGGTATGTTCCTTTGTGCTTAGTGCTCATGCCCTGGAATTTTCATTCACTGTTCTTGCACTGTGCAGGAGCTTGGCAGGAAATGGCTTCACTGGCTCCTTACCAGACTTCTCTCGCTGGAATGTCAGCTGTACACAGATGTAAGCCCCCCCACACTCACTTCCTCTTCTTTCCCTCTTTTCCCCTCCGACACTTTCCCTGTTCCACTCTCAACATCGCTTGCTCAATCTCATTCTCCCAACACCATGGGGTTCGTGCCATGGTGCTAGTCATTGAAATCACCCTACTCATGTCAGTGGCCCTCGTTGCTGCCTTGCCTGTGTTGTGCCTCAGAAATTTCAGTGACAACAACTTCACAGGGTCGATTCCAGATTCCGTCTCCACCCTCACCACCCTCGATGCCATGTGAGTTGCAACAACATGTGCCTCTCTACCCCCTCAGCATCTACCATCTCACCTGCCATCAGCACAAGGTGGGCCCTGTAATGTCATTTTCGACTCAAGAGTCGTTGGGGAAAGGTAGGTAGCTTCTGAGTCGACTCAAGAGTCTCTGGGGAGAAGTAGCAGTGGCAGTCTATGCACCCACGGAGCACCTGTGTCATAGCTAGCTGTATGTATGTGCTTACTGAGAACTTACCCCTTGCCTTGTGACGCCTCTACAGTTTTCTCAACAACAACCAACTGACCGGCACCATACCCTCTGCCATCTTCAACATGACAAGTCTGAAATACATGTAAGCCTCTCACAGGTGTAGAGTTCCCCCTTATTAATTGCCATCAAGCGTTCACACCTCGGCTCTTCTCCTCTGCACCTCAAGTGTTTCCACCTCTGCTCCATGGTGCTTTCTTGCATTGGCTCTCACCGCTCTTTGACACACCACGTCTCATTGCAATGTCTCGTCTCCCTGCCATGACCTTCCAGTTACATGGCCAACAACCACCTGAGTGGCAGTCTGCCAAATGCCATTAGCCGACTGGAGAACCTCGAACAGATGTGAGGGCGCTATATCTGCTTTCCTCGTAATCATTTCTCGACTATGTTGACAGCGCATAAGCAGTACAGCACAACCATAGCAAACGTTCATAACTGTGAATGCTATGGTGTATTTACATGCAAACGTCACCTGTGCCATCCCCACTCCACCCTGCTGCCTCTTGCCACTGCTCTGCCTGCCCCACCAGCTGGCTGGACAACAACATGATTGAAGGCCCCCTGCCAACTGGGCTGTGCTCGCTGCCCTTTCTTTGGCGCGTGTGAGTGGCTGCCATATACGAATGGAGATTCTGAAAATGAAGAAAAAAAAAGAAAAGAAAAATAATATCAGCATTTCTCAGCTGGGACACGTGCAGGCTACTGATATCTGAACGGGGGGTTGTATACTTACTCTTTGAAAGTAACAAAATGTAGGAACTGGCTTCACCTTTCTGTGTTTTCCACTCTGTCTAGGCATGGCTAATGGTGAGGCATGGTGTGTTTTACACGTTTGGCAGCATGATGAGCAACAATTACCTTTATGGAGAGCTCCCAGACTGCCTCTTTGACAAGTGTGTCAACCAAATGTGAGCTAACCATGCATGCCCTATCTCCAGTACTACCGCACATGCAACAGCTCGCACCCTCCTTTTGGCCGCCCATCACTGTTGATTGGTTATTTGGCCCTCGCTTAGGCGAAGCCAAGTTCGCAGCCGGATGCACGGTAGGTGCAGTTGGCTGCCCGCAGTGGTCGACGCCGACTTGGGTGGGCAAGTCGACATACTTGGTCAACTTACACGGGTCCTTTGCGAAGCCGCCGATGAGGGAGGTCGGCAGCCGACTTCGACTAGTGTGGTCGACGAGGGAGTTCGTCGACCTGCGAGGACGCCGACTTGGTAAAGTCAGCGGGTGGCTTCGACATGGGCGATGAGCTTCTGCGACAGTGTGGGGACGTTGCTCAGAAGGTTTTGGCGAAGCTGACCGCGGGCTGGTACCCCGAGGTCTATGTGGCACATCTGGCGCAACCGTTTTCACGTGGCCGACTCGGCACCTGTGCAATGTGTGTGACGGTGCACAGCATGCTCAACCGTCTACGAGCACCTGGGAAGTAGGTGCGCGCAAATGCGCTTACAGTCACCTATGCTGGTAAGCCGCCATGCTGCAGCGTTGGCAAGTCGCGCTGGTGCACTGCTGGCAGGTCGTCGACTTGCATGTTGGCAAGCCGCCTTCCAGCTGGTTGGCACGCCGTCGACTTGCCGTGCTGGCAAGCCGCCCTCGTGCTGCGTTGGAGGTCGATCTGCGTACTTGATAGGCTTGCTAGGAGATAGGCTTGCTGTAGTCTCCATTGCCAATCTCTATTGCATCATTGTATCCAAATTTTGCTAGTGAAACTCTTGCCAACTTTCATCGTGAATGTGCAAACAGTGAGACACGAATAAACATTGCGATCACTTGTACCACCCGTGCCTTTACACTTACTTCACTCTCGTCGTAGAGTGACTCTCCGCAAGGACTACCTTCGATCAAGCACTCAAACATGAATTTTTGGCCTTGCTGTGGCCCCCATCCTCCCCCAGTGATGTGAGCAACAACAGCCTGTGCGGGCGCGTCAACCGTGACTTCAAGAACATGGTAGCAGACGGTGGTGCTCTCATAAACTTGGCTCACAACTTCTTCTTTGGCGATGCCGTGCTCTTTGCTGCCGGCTGCAAGGTCTGCCCCGTTGAGATCACCGAGCCCAACAACCTCGGCATGGGGGATACCTTTGATGTGTTTGCCGGCAAGTGCAACAACGTTGCAGCCACTGGGCTGCGAGATATTTCCGTGGCGGGGGCAGGCAAGGAGGCGAGGGTGAGTCTGTCGGGAAACTGCCTGACGGTCAGCCCGGACGCGGAGTGTGCTTCCAACGCCACCCAGCGCAGCACGGCAGCCTGCCAGGCGTTCTGCAGCATCACGGACAACGGCCCGTGTGACGGCCATGGGGAGTGTGTGCCGCCTGCACCCGGTTCCACCTCCAACTTCACCTGCCTCTGTCATGCCGGCTACTCCACCCTGGACTTGGGGAATGGCTCTACCTGTGCCATTGTCAACTCCACCACCACCACTGGTGAGCCTTGCTTTCATGCGCTGTTCAATTCCACGTTGCATAACTGTGTAACCATGGTACCACATTGCTCATCACATTGCGAGGCTTCGGTTATCTACTCCTGCCTTCATCAATCCTTTCCATTTTTAACATCAAAAACTCCCCATTCCCTTGCTCTCCGCTTCCTTGCCAGTGTCCTCGCTCTTCACGGGCGCCATAGTGGGCATTGCTGTGGGCTGCTTTGCTGGCCTCGCTCTGCTCGCTGCTGTGCTCGCATGGCTGCTGTGGCCCCGCGGACCAAGTGAGCCCCTCAACCCGTCCTCAGTTCCAATCTGTGTCACCATTGCTCGCACCTCTTTCCTCCGTGTCACCATTGCTCGCACCTCTTTCCTCCGTGTCACCATTGCTCGCACCTCTTTCTATTCCACGTCCCCATTACTCACAACTCATTCTAATCCGTTTACCCATTTCTCACAACTCATTCTATTCCGTTTCACTATTGCTCACAACTCACTCTATTCCGTTTCCCCATTGCTCACAAATCTTTCTTTTCCATGTCCCCATTGCTCGCACCCCTTGTTTTCCATGTCCCCATTGTGCACACCTCTTTCCTTCATTGCCTCCCGTCTGTCTTTCTGTGTGAGCAGAAAAGTGGGAGGGGCTGGATGTGTGCGAGCAGTACTCGATACAGCAGATCATGAAAGCCACCAACAACTGGTCGGACGACAATGTGCTGGGCAAGGGTGGCTTTGGCATTGTCTACAAAGGCTACTCGCCTCAGGGCCAGCTGTGGGCCATCAAGCGCTCCACTGTCATGACCAATGACTTTGAAGTGGAGGTGAGGCATATCTTTCATTCTTACCAGCCGCTCTCTCTCAATCCATGTGAAAACAGAGAAAACAGAACACAGAGCACAGAGCACAGAAAACAGAGCACCGAGCACAGGAAAACAGGGACCGTTATTGGTCTTCCAAAATGCAAACCAGAGTCCTTTTCACAACGCGCACTGTCCATTTGCAAGTGCCTGAGTACCATCTTCCTCACCATCCGTGTGCATTTATCAGGTTAGTTTATCTGTAATCCTGTTCGCTGTATTCTGTTTTTGCCTGCAGGTGCGAGCCATGGCGTCTCTCCACCACTCGCATCTCGTTCGCCTGCTGGGCTTCTGTCTGGATCAGAACGTGGAGACGGGCAAGCAGGAGCAGATCCTCGTGTACGAGTTTGTGGGCAACAGGGACCTCGAGTACCATATCCACTCCACCAAGAGTGAGTTGCACTAGCACGATCAAAGCCAAATGGTTGCCCGACATTATTTGTTTTGCACATAACTTGACACAATTGCTTTTGCAAGCATTCTTCCTGCTCGTTCTTTGTGTTACATGATCCAGGACCGCTCACGCTGCGCCAGAGGTTGCGCCTGGCACAGGGAGCAGCAGAGGGCCTGGCATACCTGCATGGGTTTGAGACACCCATCGTTCACCGCGACATCAAGCCAGCCAACATCCTTGTGACTGCCGACATGCAAGCCAAGGTGGCTGACTTTGGGCTGCTCAAGCGCATCACACATGGCGATGCTGACGCCACACGAGTGGCCGGCACTCCGGGCTATGTGGACCCGGATTACAACCGCACCAACGTCATCACTGCCAAGAGTGATGTCTTCAGGTGCGCATGCTTGTTCCTTTAATTTGCACAATGTACTCATGATTTGAGAATGCAGTGAACTCATGTTTTGTCTGTTTTTGGTTGTTTTTCCAGTTTGTGTTGCGTGCCTTCACTCTGTAATGCAATCTCTACATATGTTAAACCCTTTCCCACTATTCTGCTGTTTGTCCAATTGCATGACTTTTTGCAGCTTTGGCATTGTGCTTCTTGAGTTGCTGACTGGAAAGCCACCCCGCATTGACACAAAAACGCACATTAGGAAATGGGTATGCCCGTCTACGAAAGCATGTGCAGCTTGCCATGTTTGCACCTTTATCCTACTTCCTACTTTAAATCGACACCTTTCACCTTTCATGACTGCCGCGCTGCTGTTGCACTGCCTATCCCACTCTCCAGGCAATGAAGATGGTGGAGGCGTATCAGTTGGATGACCTCAAGGACAGCAAGATGCCAGCAGCGAGCGAGGAGGCCATAGTGGACTTTGCAGACCTGGCTCTGGACTGCATCAAGTCTCCCGGCACACGGAGGCCCAGCATGAAGGACGTGGCATACCGCCTCAGTGCGCTCATTGAGAAACACTGCCCTGACAAGGAGGAGGAGTGGGAGGACACAGGGAAAGAAGCGAGTGAGGGCATCGATGATTCGTCTTCTTCACGGGATCCTTCTGCTGTGTCGTTTGGAGGCAGTGGGATGGAGTCTCAGATTTCATATGGTGGCAATTCTGGTGTGAGCTCATTTGTTGGCATTAGCTCTATCACTAGTGGTGTCAAGAGCTGGCTGCAGTTGAAGCCTAGCGCGGGACGCTAAGTAGGCCTATGGTGAATAGCCATTGGCTATCGCACATGAGATTGAGAATGGAGGTTCTGGTGTTGACGTTGGATGGCATTGCTACTACTGCATGCTTTGCTGGCTATGGTTAAGCGTTGAGCAGTAAGTTCCTTTCGTTGCAGTCTTGTAGCATGCTGCTTGATGTGTTGCGTGGTTGTGGGGATTGTTACGATATGAAGTTTTATGAGAAGGCATTCCTGTATGCTGCAGGAGCCGACTCTACCGAGTACGAAGTCGAGGAGTCAGAAGAGTCGAAGCGACACAGCAACCGTATGGTCAAGACCGATGCAGGCAAGAAACATTTGAAGTGAGAAGAGCGGGAACAGGTTTGAAACCGATTCCCGCGCCGCACGGTTTGAATTTCGCTGCAATAAGGGAATGTACCCCTTAGAGTACATGGCTAGTCTAGGTCGTTTCGCATTCCTTTGTATTTCTATATAAACCCTATGTATGCATGCTATAATCAATCTCAGTCATTTACATTCACTCTGACCTGAGTTCACTACTTCCGCTGCGACACTACCTGCGATCAACCCTGAACGATCCTTTCGCTAAGTTTCACTTCTGATTGTAACATGGTATGAGAGCTGCTCAGGGATTCTTCGCAACGTCACTTCCGTAAACTTCGCCAAACCAAGATCTGGCGAGCGGCACACGATCCAAGACCAAGATGGCCGGAGGATCCGGAGGCCAAACGAATCTAACGGCCGAAGGACAAACCAACCCGGCTGCGACAAATGAGGCGACAACCACGATCGGCACTGCCGCGCTCGAGCAGTTATTCGCTCGACTGTCAACAATGGAGAAAGAACTCCAAGAACTGCGCAAAGGCGATGCGGGAACCACTTCCCAACCAGTTCAACCTGGACAACCGGCTGCGAAAAGCCGCGATACCGCCGCGCACGGCTTCTCCCTCGACTCAGACAAATCTGCAACAACTTATCCTCGTCCAAGCGACGAAACCATCAACTCTGCGCAAGCACGCTTTCTCAGCGTGTAAAAAATCAAGACTACTGCCGCGCTTGACGGCAATGACTTTTATACATGGAGTTTTGAGCTTGAGCTCCTCCTACAGACAGCGCAGATCTATCACTACTTCGACGGCTCCTATCCTAAACCGGTGGAAGACACCGAAGACGCCCGCGCTCAATACTACAGTGAGTCGCTTATGGCGTATAGCGTCCTGCTGCGCAACATGTCGCCGGCAGAGCAACTCGGCATCCGCTTTTACAAAGAGAGCGCCGCTCCGGCTCTTGAAGCTTGGAAGCACCTCGTGGAGGTATATCAGCCGAAGGATTCCGTCACTGCAAGCCGTCTCCTGCAACAACTCATGGAGACGAAGATGGGGCACGGGGAGAAAGCAAACAGTTACATCAACCGTTGTCGGAACATCCGTGATCAAATCATCAAGAACGGAAGTTCTATCTCGGAGGAGATATTCGTCAACATCATCCTCCAGGGACTTGGGCCCGAGTGGAAGCCCTGCAAGGCGCTACTCCGACAACGAGGACAGCTCTCCGAAGCCGCGCTATGCGCCGCCCTGCTGACTGAGCAGCAGGACATGGACTCGAGCAGAACGAGCTCCGCGCTGCGGCGAGAGCGACTCGCCTTCTACACAGACAACCGTGAAGAGCGACGACAACCAAGGCGCCATTACTGCAAAATTTGCAAAGCCTTCGGGCATTCAACGGATCGATGCAAATCCCGATCCAACTATCGGCACCCGAATCCCACTCAACGTAACAACTGGGTCAGCCGACAAGACGCTCGTCACTCTCAGCCCCAACAACCAATCTCTCGTACTCCTGCACAACAACAACAACAGCAGGCACAAGGATCTCAAGGAGGAGCTCCCAGAAACGTAATCGCAAACATGGCGACGCGACGCCGCCGCACTGCTGAGCCAGACGAAGAAGACGAGCTCCAGGGAACATTGCCGCAACCAGAAGAAGGGTGGAACAATCCCTTCACGGAAGACCACTATTACCAGTACGACGAAGGCGAGCAGGACTGGAATCAGCCTATCACACTGTGGGAAAGCCCGCCACACGACAACCAACGCTACGTACCTGTCGGATGGAAGGAAGACGAAGACCCATCCTTCCACAGGCGCTACAAGGCAACGCTCGTGACACCGCGCCTCGCGCTGCTGCTCCGCAATAACAACCAAGACAACCACAACACCTGGTATCTGGACAGCTGCTGCGGGCAACACATGGTGGGATCGACCCGCTATGTATCAAACCTCAACCGCGCTCCCGCAACCTTCGTCACCGTCGCTAACAATCACCAGCTGCGCGCCAACTCCCAAGGCATTGTCGTTCTGCAAGCACGAGACAGCAACACCCACATCTCGTTCAACGACGTGCTCTACGTCCCAGACCTGCGCTTTAATCTGCTCTCGGCAGGACAACTTCGCGACTGCGGCGTCATACTCACCACGGATCTGGCCACGCGCGACCTCATCCTCACGTACGCCCCTCCAGACACACCTCCCGAGTCGTTCAAATACATTGGTCGAGCCCGCGCCATAAACGCGATCTACGTTCTGGACTTCGACGTACCAAGCTGTGAAGCCTCATCCGATGAGCTCGTGGACCTAGTCCCCCTCGAATTCGCCTTCATGAACGAAGAATCGTGGCAACATCCTGATGGACGACCGTGGATCCGCCGCAGCCCACACCCGTGCGAAATCAATCTGCATAACCCCGACATCAATGGACTTTGCACCACCTGCCACACGCCTGCGGCAAGCCGCACGGAGCAAGTCGAGAGGGAGTACGCGGCCATCCAGGAGGCGGAAAGTGCTGAACAAGAACCCACTGGCATGATCGATGAAGAGCTCGCAGTATCAACTTACCGCATCTTCGGAGAAGAAAACAAGCAGTTCGGTCACCGACCCGATCCGCGCCCCACACCACGCTCCGACACCCTCCGATTCATCCTCGAAGCTAACGCCTCCACCATAGACGAGGAAGGCCGCCCGCGACCATACACCCGCGAAGTCTACCGCCTTGAAATCGACCCGGCCTGGAAGGACCCTGATGAAACCGAGGAGTTAAGCGTCAAGGAGGAACAAGACAAGGCCAGGGCAGAGAAGAAACAAAAACTGTACGAAGAGCGCATCGCAGCAGGCTGGAGCGAGGAGTCTGCACGACGAGGTGGATGGGGAGACGATGACTACTAACCCGAAGAAGGGGCTACATGGGCATCAGCCACTGGAGCATGGGGAGCCAGCGGCAGCGGCATAGCAACCACCGGAGGCTGGGGCACGGAAGAAACAACTGAAACGGACCTAACACAAGAGGAGCTGGAGGAAGCAGAACGGGAAATGCGCGCCGAACGCGGAGAAGCATCCCCCCGCGTCACCATACCCCTCGGAAGACCGCCACCTGCACGCTCACCCCCCCGTTCACCATGGCGCTGGGACAGTACCTGGACGGAGCTTGAGGAGGGGAACGTACCCCCAACTCCAGTCCGAGACTCCCTTGGTCCAATCTCCCGTCCAGATCCATTCGCCCGCTTCATCGAAGGAACAACAACTCCGCTCACCGTCATCCCCGACCGCGAATTTCTCGCCCTCTACCTCTCGACCGCACCTGCAGAAGGGGAGACGACTGCAGCAGAACAAGGAGCAGAAGAAGCAGAACCAGGAGAAGAGGAGGAACCACCGCTCCAGATCCCACAAGAAACAGAGGAGGAAGCAGCAGAGCATCGCGCACGCTACATGCGCAGCAGCGGCATTCGCGCCAAATACGATCTCTGGCTTGCACACGCACAGCGACAGTCAGGGAGGAAGCTGAAAATCTGGCAGAGCGATGGTGCCAAGGAGTTCCGCAGCAACGAGCTGGAGAACGTCCTCACCGAGAAAGGAATCAAGCATGAGATCTCTCTCCCCTACGCTCATCAGCAGCAAGGAGTCGCAGAGAGGGTGAACCGCACCCTCATGACGAAAGTACGCGCCCTCATGAACCAGTCCGGCCTGCCCAAGAAATTCTGGCCTTACGCCATGAACCACGCGGTGCGCCTATACAACCTCCTCTCCACCACGGCCAACAGGGACAACCTTTCCCCGCACATGAAGTGGACCGGCTCAAGGGGAGACCCCTCCATGCTGAGGGTTTGGGGGTGCATGGTGCAGTACCGGCCAACTTCGGCACACATCGGCAAATTTACTGAGCGTGCACGATGGGGAGTTCATCCGAGGCTCAGCAATGAACACAAGGGGTGGCTTGTTCTTGACATCGACAGCAAGGAGATTGTTCCCGCGCGTGATGTTTTCTTCTACGAACGACTCACCTTGAAGCAGTGGATCGAGGACGAACAACGCGACCAAGCTCGAGGCTATGCCAACAGCGGCCGCAGCTTTGCATCTCCTGAGGACGAAGCGGCAGCAGCAGCCTTCGATCGCGACGACACCGACGATCACCCCGGCATCCAACCTCGCCCCCGCACGGACGATGACGACGACGACAGCGACGACGCCCCTACGCCTGGTCCATCCCGCCGCAACACCGCCCCAAGCACTTCCTCACCTAGCCACGAGAGCGACGATGATGACGTGGTGGAGGTCCCCATCACCGACACTACAATAACCACAAACGTGTCCGGTCTGCAGCTCCTCGGGCTACACACCTTCGTCTCCGCCATGACTCACGCCGTCGAACCAAAGAACCCGCGCCAGGCCCTCACCGGCCCTCACGCTAAAGAATGGCGTGCAGCCATGGACGCCGAACTAAAAGCACTGGAGTCCCGTGACACCTGGGTTCTCGTCGATCGTGCAGCAGTGAAGGGGAGGAGGGTGCTAAGCGGAAAATGGGTTTTTCGGCTCAAGACTAACGCTGACGGAACCATCGAGCGCTTCAAGGCACGATGGGTCGTCCGAGGCTACGATCAACGCCACGGCATCGACTTCGACCAAACCTTCGCCCCCGTCAGCAGTCACACCTCCGTCAGAATCCTACTCGCCATAGCAGCTG